GGCTGCGGCCTGGGGCCGGCCGGGGCCACTGCACAGTCGCGTCCTTGGCTGGAGGGCCGGCTGGGGGGAGAGGAAGCACGTTGCCGGAGCCGCTCCCACCCTTCAGTGTGAAGGAGGCGGGTAGCTCCTACCTCCCCACCTCCATCTCGGTATCCAACGGAAGCGCCAGCCTGAGGTGGCCGGAGGGCTGTGGCGGAGGCCGACCGGCTTTGAGAGGTGGGCGCTAGTGTGGTTTTTTGTCATCTTAGTGCCACCCCCGCGTCTTGCACCTGCTGCTCGCACGGTCCGCATGCCCGCCGGAGCGGCGGAGGGCGAGGGGCCTGGATACAGTTTCCCCGGGAGCACCTGAGGGGGTGGCCGACTCCCAGGGCTGGGGCTCCGTGTAGGGCCTAGGGTTCAGGGACGATCTTAGCCCCGGCATCTTCCCCGGAAGCATCTCCAGGCCTTCTGGTAACTGGGAACAGCTGAACTCAGCTTTTCCTGTTCCGGGTAGGCCTGTTTGAGAAGGTGTGCTAGGTATTCCCCCAGTCTAGGCACCGATCCCTCCTGGTCCCTAGCCCATTCTGGCTGGAATTTTGGTAGAGGAAAATGGCAGGGGATGCCTAGACTCCCCCTCCTCCAGCTGGCTTCCTGAACTGGCTGGACTCACACACTGTTTCCCTTCCCAGCAGAGTTAGGTCTGAGCTTAAGCCCCCTGCTTGCTGAGGAAGTCGAGGGAGGACAGTGACCCACCAGGCTGGTCTCTTATGTGGGAAGCCACAATCAGTGATGGGACTCAGAAGCTGGCTAGGGAAGCTCTGGCCCTTACCCATCCTCACTTTATAAAAGGAACTGTCCCTAGACCAGCTCAGTGGCTGTCAACTCCATGGGGAATGTGGGCCTGATCAGGTGAGAGTGTGGAGTGCTGATTTGTGGACTCAAAACTTGCAGTCACCTTTTAGAAATCCCCAGATCTGACAGGTTGAGCCCCATTAGGCATGATGTCTGGTAGTTCCTGTGCTCTAACCTGGTGTATTGGGAGCTGTGGGTACCTGGCAGGGGCATGGATACCTTGTGGGTGACTATGATCCTGGGACCACCTTAGGGCATGTCATGCTTTGGAGAGTCCAAGAGGGACCATCTAAAGCTGGAAACCATGACTCCCTTCCACTGCTGCAGGTAGGTCTGGAACGGAAGAGCTATGTGTCCAGGCTGTTCTGCATCTCTGTGGAGTGGACCTAGGGGTGAGGGGGCTAGCAGGCATTCTGTCAAGGGACCCTGGGTTCTGGTTTTGACTTTGTTTCCAGCTTACCCTGTGACCTCTGGAAACACTTTCCAGTCTGGGCCACAGTTTCCTCAACTGTGTGGCAAAGAAGTTGGAATAGCATCAGCAAGGCCACTGTCCCCCTGCATTGCCGGTGACTGTGTGACTGTCTGGCTGGAGCCTCTGGAGGTGCTGGGAGGACTGGGGTGTGTCAGATGTGTTAGCCTTCCCAGCTCATAGCCCCAGTCCCCATCTAACAGAGGCATGCCTGCCTTCACTACTTCCTTTCCTTCCCTCTAATCCAGAATGCAGGTCAAGCAGGTGGGCAAAATGTTGACAAAGTCTTACTCATCATCCCACCCCAGCACCTAGTATAGTGTCTGGCACATGGCAGCCACTCACCAAGTGCAAGTGTGTTGGTGCCTGTCAAGACTATCCTATACCACACACTGGCTCTGGCAGACCGTGGCATTCTCAGTCTGGTCCTGTAGAATCCTGGGCAAGAGAGTGTGAACATGCCTAGCAGTCTTGGGGCTAGACCCAGTGCTGAGCTCCCTGGTGTGTGCCTCAATCCCAAAATCACAGAGTCACCGCTCCTGTCTTCACTGTAGACATAGAGTCATGACCTTTTTTACAGTTGGTTAACTTAGAGGGTGATGGAGGCAACAGCCTGTGCTTGAAGAGCTTCATGCACCACAAACAAGTATGAGTATGTTGCAAGGCAGCTGGAGAGAATGTCACTGCTGTGGCAGCTTGTGCCACCTTACCAGGTACTGTGCCCATCTGCCTTGGAAGTCTAAGAAAGGGCAGGGGCCAGGGCATGCCAAAGAATGTTGGTCGTCCCCTTCATCTCCACCCACTCTGCTTCATGGCCTTATTCCCAAGTACCGTGGCCTGGCTCTCAAGTACCCTCCTCACTCCATGGCCTCCACATCAGCCTTTCCACTTTGGCAGTCCTGGTACAGGAATAAAAAGACCTCAAGATGATGGTCTTGTGTGTGACCAGACCACGGCTGGCCACCAGCCAGGAATGTGTTGCAGAGCAATCTACAGGCTCATTTCTAAGAACAAATGGTGGACTTTTCTTTCTTTTGTTGAGGTATAATTTCAGTCACCTTAGTGTTTATATAGACTATTTCAAAAGTCTCTGCAGCTTCCTTTCACCCAACCACCCTGACCATGCCCCCCAGTGGTAACCACCATGCTAATCTGTCTACATGGATTCCTCTAGTCTGCTTTCAACATGGCAAGTTTCCCCTCTCATCTACCAAGGATCTGGCCCTTAGCTTAAGAGAGGGAGGCCTGAGGCTGCTCTTTCTATGCAGACCTGCTGGCCCTAGAGACCACTGGTGGCTTTTGGTGGAGGCCTTAGTTATGTTATCCCAGTATCTCTTATGCTGCCTGACAACACATAGTAGATCCCTACCTTGCCTGTGGAGCCAAAAGAAGCCACTACCACCTCTAACTCTTGCATTCCCTGCCCTTTACCCCTTGTTTGCTCTAGGGAGCTTCTTAGGAAGCTGTTTGACCTTCAGAAACCCTTCCTGGCCCTTATGCTTAAGAACTGACAGGGCTGGGCACAATGATGCATGCCTTTAATCTCAGCACTTGGGAGGCAGAAGCAGGTGGATCTTTGTGAGATTAAGGCTAGCCTAGTCTACATAGCAAGTTTCAGGCACCAGCTGGGGCTACAGGGAGCCCCTGTCTCAAAAAGAAAAAAAAGCGGGGGCTGGAGAGATGGCTCAGCGGTTAAGAGCACTGACAGCTCTTGTAGAGGACCTGGGTTCAAGTCCCAGCACCCACATGGCGGCTGTGAACTGTCCTTAACGCAAAAGAAAAGAAAGAAACAAACGCTGGCATTGGTGGAATTTGAATTCCTGGGTCAAGGTCATTTGGGCATAGGGTGTGGGTAGAATTGTTAGTATGTACTTCCTAGCTGTATCATCCAGAACTGAGCTGGCACCAGTGTAGCCTAGACCAAGACAGTATCCCCTACCCACCCTTCCTGTCAAGCCATAGCAGAGGAAAGGGCAAAGGCTTAAAGCGTGAGGTTCTGGGACCACTGGCCCTGGATAGCTAGCTGGCTTCTCCACAGGGCGATAGGCCCGGGGTGGAGGCCTCAGGTCTGCCCATTTCTGATCCTGGCCTGGGCGGCTCCCCACTTACAGGAAACCCCACCACTTCAACAAGAGGAATTTAGGCTGCATCATTTCCCGCTTCCTGCCTGGGCTGCAGGAGATGACTGGCAAGCAGACCCCCTGACCCAGTAATGTTTAGGAGTCAGAAGAGGGAGTTTTCCATGGTTGCCGGCTCATTGTTTAGGTAGTCAACACAAAAGTACTCTAGGGCTCCCCCTCCTGGCAGAGGTGTCAGATTCCTTCCTCCTCAGCCCTTGGAAATCAGCCCTCTGGGAAGGTGTGCAGTGGTCATTTTGTACATCCCTCATTGCCTTGTTTTGTGAAGTCCAAAAGAAGCCTAGGTCCAAAGATCCAGCTCTTTCATTTTCCTGTTTTCATACTGTATTAGGGGACAATTGGCATGGGCATAGCTCAAGCCCTTGACTTAGTTTGGTCATGATTCTAGGAACTTTGATGGGAGACATGGCTGGAAGGGCCTGAGAATTACCTTCTGATTGGGAGATACTACCATTCTAGGCCTGTCCCACCTCAAAGGGTCCCCACTATTGGGCCTCTGAGTCATATAAGGCAAGGCAGAGAGCCAGTCTCACCCCCTAGGACAAGGATTCCTGAGCCTGGGTGGGGGCCTGGGCAGAGCAGAGTGTCCTTGGAGAGCAGCTCCCTGCCCCCACTCTGGACAGCACACAATGGCTGCTTTCTCCCTGTGACCTTTCCTTTCCATAGCCTGAATTGTGTCCAACTGACTCCTCCCCTTATCTAGAGGGGTTTGGAGTAGTGGCATCTCCCCTACATTGGAGTACCTAGGACTTCCCACCCAGCCTTAGCCTCCATTACTGTTTCCCAAGTTTACTTCTCCCCAAGGACTAATGGTTTCCAAGTCTGGAGTTGTAGGGAGATGGCAGCAAGTATAGACCTGCTCTGGTCTCGAGCATCAAAGTGCCTGGGTCACATCCCAGCAATTCTATTCATTAGCTGTGTAACCTTGAGCAAGCCTCCTGACCCCTCTGAGCCACCTTAGAATTGTCATCTGTAGAGCAGGATAGCACTTAAGGAAGCATAAGCAAAGTACTTGACTGGTAAACAGTGTGTGTTTGGTCTGCCCTCCTCAAGAGGAGCTCCATCCTCAGTGATGGTAGCATGAGGTTGGGGCCTGAAAGGACCTCTCAACTAACAGTGTCAGAGCAAGGAGGGGGTCTAACAGAAGCCTGGGTGTAGATGTAGCACTGACCCAGGAGACTCCTGCTTCCCTATAGAATGGATGGACAGCAGCCTTGCTCCCTGGAGAAAGACTGTGAGACTAGTAGCCATGGCTGTAGAACAGGAAGCTGTGTCAACTGAGGAGCCCTGGGGACCATGCATTCCCACAGGCAACGATATATAGAAGACAAGCAACCAGCTACTAGGCTCTTGGAGACTGAGTGAATGTACCCGAAGCACTTGAACGTACCGCTCAGGAAGTGGTGCCTACCCTCTGGCTCCAGCTAACTCCCCTACCCTGTTTCCCCAGACCCTGGCTGGGCATCTATCAGCAGAGGTGTGCTGGTTTGTGACGAGTGCTGCAGTGTGCACCGGAGCCTAGGACGCCACATCTCCATTGTCAAGCACCTTCGACACAGCGCCTGGCCTCCTACCCTGCTACAGGTAGGGGGCTGGACCAGAGGCTGTCCTTTCCAGTGTGCAGTCCCTAGGTATCTACACACCTACACACACACACAGAATTATCTAGAATCTGTAGTTTCCAGGGGTAGCAGCCATTTGGGGGGCAGAGTATATTCTGGGCCCTTCCACCTAGCACCTTTTCCTATGCAGAGCCCAGCCCTGCCTGTCATTAGCTTGGACAGTAGCACTGGGAAAGTTGTTTAACCTCTCTGAGCCTTGGCAAACCCACCAAGGTAATCCAACACAAAGTGCTAAACAGGACACGCATTTTTGGAGTACCAGGCACACAGTAGGACCCTTGGTGTTGTTTCCAGCTGCAAGCAGGCACTTTGGAGTATCTCCACCAATGCCCAGCATGCAGTGGGCAATCTCTCACTTGGCATCTCTTCCCCACAGATGGTGCACACACTTGCCAGCAATGGGGCCAACTCCATCTGGGAACACTCCCTGCTGGACCCTGCACAAGTGCAAAGTGGCCGGCGCAAAGCCAACCCCCAAGACAAAATCCAGTGAGTGGGGCTGCAGGGGTAGTGGGCAGGGCTGTGCTCTGGGACCAGGGACCTGGAAGGTAGCTTCCTACTCTGCTCCCATTGCCTCCTGTGTGCCCCATGCAGCCCTATCAAGTCAGAGTTCATCAGGGCCAAGTACCAGATGCTGGCGTTTGTGCACAAGCTTCCCTGCCGGGATGATGATGGAGTCACTGCCAAAGACCTCAGCAAGGTGTGAGGGGCCCCTAAACTGATGGCTGGGCCTCTCCTTTTTCCTCACCCATGACACCCTGAGGCTCCTCTTTCATCCACCACTAAGGCCTAGGTCCCAGAAGCAGTCTAGGGTAGGGGAAGGCAGTAGGCACAGACACCCAGGGACCAGGGAAGATTGCTCTGTCATGCTATGGGTGGCCAAGACACCTCATCTGCCACTTAAAAGCTAGAAATACTTAGGGTAGTTGCTTAGCTGTTCAAAGCTTTCATTTCCTCACCTGTAAAATTAGACAGCATCTGCCTCTTAGGTAATAGCTGTCCAAAGCAGAGCATGGGGCACATGGTAGTGGCAGGCAACAGCTATTATTAATTGGCATTAACTGCAAATGGGAAGCCCTCTGGCCTTCCTGACATGGCCCAACTTTGGCTGGGCCTCTTGGAGCTGGTAGGAGTCCCAGGAATAGCCTGGGGCAGATGCAGCTTGTGGGAGGGCGAGGGTATTCCTTGTGCACACACATTTATTACACACTCTGCTCCTTGCAGCAACTGCACTCAAGTGTGCGGACAGGCAACTTGGAGACATGTTTGCGCCTGCTTTCCCTGGGTGCACAGGCCAATTTCTTCCACCCAGAAAAGGGCACTACCCCTCTACACGTGGCTGCCAAGGCAGGGCAGACACTACAGGCTGAACTTCTGGTGGTGTATGGGGCTGACCCTGGCTCCCCTGATGTCAATGGCCGCACACCAATCGACTATGCCAGGTGAGAGTCAGCTAAAGGATGAGGCTTCCATGGAGGGGAGTGAACTACTGCTGTAGGGCTGAGCCATGTCCCCTCCCCACAGGCAGGCGGGGCACCATGAACTGGCAGAAAGGCTAGTTGAGTGCCAGTATGAGCTCACTGACCGGTTGGCCTTCTACCTCTGTGGACGCAAGCCTGGTGAGCAGAGAATGAGGCAGGCCTGACTGGGCCAGGCAGGTGGGACCCAGACACACCCCAGCAGCAGGTGCCATAGTGACAAAGCCAGCTGGGGAACTGTGTTGCTAGGCAACTGGCTCCTATGAAATTGCTGCAGGCTCTGGGTTGCTGTAAGCAGGTTGGGGCCAAGGAATGGGGGTGGGCCTAACTTCCAGCCAGCTTTCAGTGTTCTTGGGGTGTCCTGCCCTCCTCCCTTTCCTCTGATACTTCTAAGTGCCAAGCCCTGCTCATGGTAGTGAGGTGGGCTCCCAGCTGCTGGCACCACCTGGTACCAATGACTTGGCATTTTTATTTTTGTTCAGATCACAAGAATGGGCATTACATCATCCCACAGATGGCTGACAGGTGAGTGCCCACCTCATGCCCCTTCCCAGATATTGGATGCCAAGGTGGCCTGACCCCAGATCCCTATTCCTCCCCAGGCTTTGGGGTCCTGGAACCCCACACTGTATACCTAGGGACTAGAGGTACAGGTTTTCATAGTCCAATTCCTACTTCTAGGGTACACCCCAAGGCAGATGAGAAATGTCAGTTCAGCACACATCAGTGCATCTGTTAAATATGTGGAGGGCTTGGGCACAAGGAAAGGCCTGGCTAGGAGGATGGACCATTGTGTCCTAACATGCTGTATAGCCTTTAGATAAAGGATTCCCTCTTCAAGGAGAACGTGGCTCCTGGGAGTTGGTTGACTCTGGGACTACTGGCCAAGCCTCCAGTGTGCTCCCAAACTGGGCAGCAATCCCAGATGGGGTAGTAATAGGGAAATTCTGCCTCTGCCATGGTACCCAGGCAGTGGAAGGCACCCCCTAGCCATTTACCCAGTCTACATGACAGGTGTTAGTGCCACCTAGTGGCACTGAGGGGACTGCAACTTCATACCAGGCAGTGCCCACTGACATAGATCTAGGGAGAGGTTTTTCTCTTTTCCAAAACAGCCTCTGTAGACAGATGGGACTCTCAGGCAGCTTGGACCCAGATCCCTAAACCCAGAGAGCCCCCCACCTCCAGTCTAAGATCCTGAGACTCCACTCTACTTGTCTGGTCTGATTCTGCCTGGTAGAGTGCGTGCATGATGCGTGCGTGTAACATGGACATGCATTCAGTGGTTGTTAACTTAGCACCTTCTCAGAGCCAGCTGCTGTTCTGGGGACACAGAGGTAACACAGACACCACCCCTACCTTAAGGAGCTGCAACCAGACAGGCACCCTAGCTGGCTTAATGGACCACTGAGGATTGCAGCAAGGCTGGAGGGTAGAGGCGGAGACAAAAACACTGTGCTAGGAACTGCAGGCCACTTGTACAGCCTCACACTGGGAGGAATAAGACTGGAAAGAGCCAGATTAGGGAATGAACCTTACGTGAACCTCAGCGAGACTGTGACCATTCTAAGGGTGGAGTTCCAAGCATGTGTTGGATATGTGGCAATATCTCAGCTACTTACTGGCTGTGTGACTTGAAGGCAGGCTACTTAACCTCTCTGAGCCTTGGTTATCTCATCCAAAATGGGGGTGCTAGTACCTACCTTAGGGGGGAAAATGAGATTAAATAAGATATGAATGCAAAGTATTTAGCATATTTTTGTGTTTTTTTGAGACAGGCTCTCATTCTGTAGCCCTAGCTGGCCTGGAATTCAGTTTATAGACCAGACTGGCCTCAAACTCAGAGATCTACTTGCTTCTGTCTCCTGAGGGCTCAGATAAGAGGCGCACACCACAATGTACTTCATAGTATGTTTGTAAAAGAGAGCACTTTTTTGTTTTGAGACAGGGTCTCCTGTAGCTCTGGCTGGCCTAGAACTTGTGTAGACCAAGCTAGCCTGGAACTCCCAGATACCCATCTGCCTCCCTCCTGAGTGCTAGGATTAAAGGCATGCACCACTACACCAGCTTAAAGAGCTTTTTGATGAAGTATGTTAAGCTATGCTATATGTACCTGTTACTATTAAGATGTTTCAAGGCAGAGTGAAGCCAAGTGTATTAAAAATATCACTGTGGCCACTGGATGAACTAGAAGTAGGGAGAAGAATTAAGAGTGAGAAAAGCCATAGAAGAGGAAATGCAGCAGACTGGAAGCTTGGCTGGGACTTGAGGAAGAGACCCCAACCACGTAGCTCACAGTGGACAGACAGATCCAAGAGAAAGAGCAAACTGAGAAGGAACCAGTCATGGGGAGAGAGTTCGCTTTGCACGCTTTGGGTTGGGTGTGTGTGTGGAGATGTGTCTGAGCTTGATAGGAGAATGCAAGTACCGCCTGCTCCTGGGTAATTGCTACTCTGTCCTGTTCTTCCCTCTGCTGCCTTCCTGGACTAGATCTCGGCAAAAGTGCATGTCTCAGAGGTACACCGCACCTGCCAGCTGCAGGCTATGAAGCTTGGATGGGGGGGGGGGCTTGGTGTGTGACCTCAGGGTCTCATCTCCCTTAGCTCCCTGCATGTTTGGGAAGCTGCCAGCAGGGCCCTAGGCATCTCTCACGTCTGGCTTCTCCCCTTCTCCCTCCTTTGTCCACAGCCTGGATCTGTCCGAATTGGCCAAAGCTGCCAAGAAGAAGCTGCAAGCGGTGAGTCTGCCTCAATAGGCTAGAGATATTCAGAGCTGCTCCCATCTGCATTGCTGGTCCCCTTTCCTCTGACTGCCCCTCACCAGCCTTGCTAGTCTCCTCCCTACTACCTCTCCATGCCCTTGTCTTTGGCCCTGGTTCTGCCCTCCAAAGTGTTAGGTCTGCAGCACCTTATCTCTGTCCAAGAGGGAATGACTGGCCTGGACTCCCTTCTTCTTCCTTGCACCCAGGACCTTACCCATTCATTCTTCAGTTCTTAGGCTAGGGCTGGGCAGCACAGGGGGCATAACATATCCCGTCATACAACATCCTGACAAACCCTGGGTCCCCCTCTCTACCTCTAGCTCAGCAACCGGCTTTTTGAGGAACTCGCCATGGATGTGTACGATGAGGTGGATCGAAGAGAAAATGATGCTGGTGAGTGGGAAGGGCCTGCTGGGAAGGGCTAGGACCTAGTGGTAAAGTGGACTAAGGAAGAGTAGCTGGGTTGGGGCCTCTCTGAGGCCTGCTGGAGTGAGGCCCTTCCAGCCCCCTCTGGGCAATGCTGAGCTGTAGGCAGCCAGCTGCCTCCCCGCCCCACTGGGCACCGGGGCTCATCTTGCTCTGGCTGCCTCCCACTTTGGCAGTCTCCCCAGTCCTGCTCCACCCCTCTGCATCACTCTTTCCTGGCCACAGCCAGATTCCAGCCCAAATTCTGGGTCTGGCCTAGGGGATAGGCCTTGTTCTGCTCTTGTCAGTGGGCAGGCCTCACTATGCCTTGCCCAGCTTTTGTGTGTGTGGAGACCCCTGCTTCCTGGGGCAGACACCAGCTACTAGGGAGGAACTGACGGCTGTGATCAGTGCTTCCCCACCTCTGCTCTGAGGGCCCAGCCATGGTGGATGATCTGCTCCCTATCCCTCCCCCACAGTGTGGCTGGCTACACAAAACCACAGCACCCTGGTGACCGAGCGCAGTGCTGTGCCCTTCCTGCCAGTCAATCCCGAATACTCAGCCACTCGGAATCAGGTGAGGGGGTTAGACAGGAGGCCTGGGTGACTTCTTCCCTTTTTGGGAGCCCTGTCCCAGAAAGCCCTGTACCTTAGGTGGGCTGGCACCTAGGCCACCTTTCCTGTGGCCTCTCTCAGGGCCTAGCTGGTCCTGGGATTCAGGGAACAGGGAAAAAGCTGGTGGTATTCCAGCCTCCTTCTGAAGGCTCCCCTGGGTGCACTGAGCCTTTGATAGCCCAAAGAGCTGCTATGCTACTAACTGGCCTGATGATGTTGGGTTGGGATTCTTTTTTTCTTTTAAGTCTTTTTGAGACAGGGTCTCCCTGTAGCCCCAGCTGGTCTGTAGACCAGGCTGGCCTTGAACTCACAGAGCTCCACCTGCCTCTGCTTCTGCCTCCCGAGTGGAGTGCTGGGACTAAAGGCGTGCGTCACCATGTCTGGCTTGTGTTGGGATTCTTTAGCTCCCGATAGATTGGACAACATTACTTTGCTTTGTTTCCACCTCTGTGGGCCAGGCAGAAATGGCCCCTCATCCCTCATGCTGGCTTTGTCCTTTCTGCCTTGTAGGGACGACAGAAACTGGCCCGTTTTAATGCCCGAGAGTTTGCCACCTTGATCATCGACATTCTCAGTGAGGCCAAACGGAGGCAGCAGGGCAAGAGCCTGAGCAGTCCCACAGGTGGGAGGGGTACTGTGCCAGGCCTTGGGCTGCCCTTGCCTAGGGTCATGATAAGTAGCCTGTGTGGTGGAGCCACCCCTGAGTGATAGGTCTTATGTCTTCAGACACCCTTGAACTGTCTGCACGGAGCCAAAGTGACCTAGACGACCAGCACGACTATGATAGTGTGGCTTCTGATGAAGACACGGACCAGGAGCCCTTGCCCAACACGGGTGCCACTCGAAACAACCGGGCCAGGGTCTGAACACTGCCCTTCTTCCCACACCTTCCTCTCTTCTTTCCAGCCTGTCAAGCCCAGTTCTGTCTTCTAACCCAGGGTCTTTGGATCAAGTGGCCTGGTGAGCCCCTGCTTCTGAAGCTGACTAACTTCTGTCTCTGCAGAGCATGGACTCCTCAGACCTATCCGATGGGGCTGTGACGCTGCAGGAGTACCTGGAGCTGAAGAAAGCCCTGGCCACCTCCGAGGCCAAAGTGCAACAGCTCATGAAGGTCAACAGCAGCTTGAGTGATGAACTCCGGAGACTACAAAGGGAGGTAAGGGCTGCAGCCTGTGGGAGTGGTGGGAAGGTATCTAAAGCCCTGGGAATGGGATCATTCTTTCCCAAAGGTGGCAGCACCCACCTGGACCCAGAATTGGACACTACTGTGTACACTTACAGATCCACAAACTGCAGGCAGAGAACTTGCAGCTCCGGCAGCCACCGGGGCCAGTGCCCACGCCCCCTCTTCCCAGTGAACGGGCAGAACACACACCCATGGGGCCTGGAGGAAGTACCCACCGAAGGGACCGTCAGGCCTTCTCCATGTATGAACCAGGCTCTGTCCTGAAGCCCTTTGGAGGCACGCCTGGGGATGAGCTCACCACTCGCCTCCAGCCTTTCCACAGCACTGTGAGCTGCCTGTGGGTATTGGGTGGGGGAACAAGGATGGGACTGCCACAGAGCTCGTCTTGACACCCTCTATGCTACCTCCTCCAGGAGCTGGAGGACGACGCCATCTATTCAGTGCATGTCCCAGCTGGCCTTTACCGAGTAAGCAGCACTTAAGGGAGGAGGGTTCACTGTACCAGCCCTGGTGGGTGTCAGGCTATGCTGGGTGCTAGGACAGACACTGGGGACTAACTGCAGGTAGAGACTGACTCTGACCTTCCCCTGGCTTTCAGATCAGAAAAGGGGTGTCTGCCTCTGCTGTGCCCTTCACTCCTTCTTCCCCGCTGCTGTCATGCTCCCAGGAAGGAAGCCGCCACACGGTAGTTTCCACCTCACTGCCCAGGGACAGTGTGTGGGGTATATGGGCCCAGGAGTGTACACTCACCCACCACCCTTCCCCACATCCTCCAGAGCAAGCTTTCACGCCATGGCAGCGGTGCGGACAGTGACTATGAGAACACACAGAGTGGAGACCCACTCCTTGGGTAAGGCACCTGTGGGTCTCTACCCAACCCTGCCAGGACCTGGAAGGGAGGAGGTGGTAGGGCCAAAGCGTCTGGAGGTGCAGGCAAGCTGGGGGTGGCTATAATGGCTGTTTTCTTCCCACCTGGACTCAGACTGGAAGGAAAGCGATTCCTAGAGCTGGGTAAAGAGGATGAGCTGCACCCTGAGCTAGAAAGCCTGGATGGAGACCTAGACCCTGGGCTCCCCAGCACTGAGGATGTCATCCTGAAGACAGAGCAGGTTACCAAGAACATCCAGGAGCTGTTGCGGGCAGCCCAGGAGTTCAAGCATGATAGGTAGGGTAGACACAGATTCCTGTTATTTTTTGAGGCGGGGAGGGGGCATTCATCTTAGGACCCACTGTCTCTGGGACTCTTAAGAGAAGCCTCATCCAACCCCCCCCCCCAACCCCCAACAGCTTTGTGCCGTGTTCGGAGAAGATCCATTTGGCTGTGACTGAGATGGCCTCTCTCTTCCCAAAGGTACAGGGGCCAGAGAGGAGCAGGAGTGGGAGGACTTTGAGGTAGGGCAGGTATAGGGAACCTGACTGCTGCCTGGGTAGAGACGAGCACCCTGGGTCACAATCAGATGCCTGGCTTAAAGTCCAGGGCCCAACTTCCCCTCCCTCCTCCCTCCAGAGGCCAGCCCTGGAGCCTGTGCGCAGTTCGCTGCGGTTGCTCAATGCTAGCGCCTACCGGCTGCAGAGTGAATGCCGGAAGACAGTGCCTCCAGAGCCTGGTGCCCCTGTGGACTTCCAGCTGCTGACTCAGCAGGTGATCCAATGCGCCTATGATATCGCCAAAGCTGCCAAGCAGCTGGTCACCATCACCACCCGAGAGAAGAAGCAGTGACCACTTTCCCTTCCCTTACCCACACCCTGGGACCTCACTGGCCATGGGAGCTGGGCCACTCCAGACACTAACTCACCCCAACAGAGCCACTGGCACAAGTGCCCTTAGTGCTGCCATTTACCTCTGGCAGCCAGGCGCCCTGGTGCCCACTCCCTGAAGCCCCAAGGATGGGAAGGTGGGGTGGCAGGAGCTTCTGTCCCCCACATTCCATGTCCCTCCCCTTGTACATAGCATCCTCTCCCTCTTAGCCCCTCACCCTACCTTCAGGGGCACCCTCAGCAAAGGGACAGGGACACTCCAAATGGGGCAGCTCCGCATACCTGCACCCTATCTCCATGAGCCAGTTTAGCCCTATGGGGGCTGAGCAGGGGCGTCCCTCTCCTTTGTACATTATCTCTGGATGTTCCTACCCTGTAGCGCCAGCCCCCCTTGCTGCTCTTCTTTCATGCCAAATGGTCCCTAGAGCACAGGCCCCAACTTGTGTGCCAGGGTCCCCAGCAGCAAACACTGGAAAGTCTTTTTCTCTCCTCTCCCTTACCCCTTAATTTTAACTTTGTGGTAACTGAGTGTCCCTGTGTGCCTGAGTGAGTGAGCCGGCGGCAGTGCCGTTCCGGAGGCCAAGCCCACCTGGAGCTTTGTGGCAGGGGGCAGGGTACCATAGTAATGGGACCAGCATTGGGGGCAGCTTCCTTCTCCCCCCCATCTGGAGCAGGGGACTGTCAGGGTCATCAGCTGTGGTCCTGTTGCTGCCCCTACTTATACCCCTACCCTATAAACTTAAAAGACCACTTCCCATCTCCCTTGTGGGAAGTGTGCTGGCCAGGCAGAGGACAGAGCACCTGAGCCTGGGGCTGGCTCCCCAGGGTCCCCAACTCAGCTGTTGGCTGTGGAACTGAGCCCCTCTTCTTAACCTTTGCAAGGCCAACACCCACATCACTACCTGCACCTATGATGACCCATCCTCTGGAGGCCAGGGGATCTGGCTGCAGCTGGAAAGGCTGGCAAGGTGACAGCACCCACCAGCTCTTCTCCCCAACCACCTCTCCCATAGGGGGCCCAGCCCTCCCAGTGTCATGGTGGGTGGCTGTCAAGACATGTGTCATGTACATTTGTATCAAAAATAAATAAGTGACCATGTGCCACTTCTGATGCTTAGAGATTGGGGCGAGGGTGAAACTGAACCTAGTGGCCAGTGCATTCCTCTGGAAGCGTCCCTGCCACTTACTGTGCTCACACCCCCATCTGTACTCCCAAAGTGAGGCAGGATAGCAGGTTCAGAGCTTGCCTGGGCTAGAGAGATGGGGATGAAGACATGGAAGCAGAGGGGGAAATTGGAAAAGGATGAAAACTACCAGGGCTCAGAGACCTGGTGGTAGAGAAGCCGCCGTTAGGAACAGGTTTCAGAAGAGCGTGGGAGTAACGCTGGTGTAATGCACCCCTAAAAGCAGAGGAGTCCAGCTGCCTAGGCCCCGCTCCACTACAACCTAGGATAGGACCTGGAGTGTAACTGGAGGGCAGACGGACCCACTCAACTCTAAATTCTACTAAAATAATTTAATGAGAAACGGAGAATTTGGGTCAGGGAGCTGAAAAGGCTGCCTGCTCCTCATCCGTTGGTGGCCCCCTCAAGCATCCAACCCAGAAGCGGAACTTCTAAGGCCATTCTTGCCTGCCACCAGGCGGCGCCCACACCCAACTCCCGTGGCAGAGGTGCCCCGCCTCCCCCGGAAGAGAAGCTGGACCCCGGCTGAGCCTGCTCAGTCCGAGCTCTCCGAGTCCGGGCCACTGTCCGGTGTGGGTGGGAGCAGGGGCCTTCGGCGGGCGCGCTTGATCCGGCGCAAGAGCAGCCTTCGCTTCAGCACAGCTGTGGGCGGGGCAGGAGGTCAGGGGCGGGGAACCCGAGGGGCCAGACCCACCCGGGGTTTGGGGGAGGGGTCCTCACCAGCCACTGTGTCCTGGCTGTCTGCTGTGGGTCCCCAGTAGATACTCTCGCTCCTCCGGAAGTTTCGGTGCAGTCGCGTGCAGAGCGTGGCCAGCGTGAGCAGCACTAGCAAGAAGGTTAGGGCCATGGCAGCCCAGGCAGCCTCTTTCGTGCGCGGAGTGGGGACCCGGGCTGCGTATGGAGAAGGTGCTGCTCGAGGGGCCGGCGAAGCCTGACTCCTGCAGGCACAACCCCCTGCACTGTCTTGCCCTTTGGGTATCTGAGCCTCTGTCCTGGAGCTAGCATTGCCTCTGGGTCCACCGGTCACCAAGGAGACAGGGGTCACAGAAGAGGCATTATCCCCCTCAGCCAAGAGTCCCAAAATGGGCTGCTGGGCCTTTAAGCTCTGTGCCAAGGGAAGCCTCCAGCCTGAGGGTGTGGACTGGAGACGGAGGGCAGCCCGCAGCTCCCTTCTCTTGGCACCGCTGAGAGAGGGCTGCCTGGGTCCTCTAGATGTCCCCTCTACACCAGGAGGCCTCCAGCTCCGCAAAGCAAAGGCCAGAGTCAGGGCCTAAAGCAAGAAGAAAACAGGCATCACTCCCGTCCTGCTGATATACCAGGGATCACACACCAACCAAGCCTGGGCCCAGCACCCCTCACCTGCACACACCCTTTCCCACACAACCTCCCTCTGCTGGAGGCTGGCACCAAGGGAGAAGGCCTAGGAAAAATGTCCGCGAGAAACACTTTCTTCCTCTGCTTCCACCTCCACCGCCTCTTCAGCCAGTGGGCAGCCCAGGCTGGTTCTACCCATGCCATCTCCAGTGCCATGCCCCAGGCTGTCAGCACCAGGGGCTATGAAAGAAGGTAACTGTTAGAACTAAGATAGAATAGGAAGCCCCTGAGTTTTTGTTTCCCTGTACATGAGGTTGTATACTCTGCCAGCACCAAATACCTTTCACCAACCACTTACCCGGTCCCGAGTAAGACTGGAATCAGGAATGAGTGTGGGCTTAGCCAGACACACATGGGCCAGAAGGACAAGCTGGAGCTTCAGCCAGGGGTGGGCACAGGGGTGGTAGTGGAAGGTGACAACCTCAGCCTAAAGAAAAGCCAGAGATACAAAGCCAGGCCTAGGTCCCTATCAATGAATCACTTCTCCCATCCTAAGAGCCAGGATAAGGGGTTTCTCAGGAAGGCAGAGGCAGGCAGATCTCTGTTCTAGTCCAGCTGGAGCTATAGGGAGACTCTGACTCAAAAAGACCAAAAAAAAAAAAAAAAAAAAAAAAAAAAAAAAAAAAATCAGGGAGTAGAGGGAGAAATTCAGGAAGCAACCAAAGCAAATGAACAAACAAAATTATAATGGGGAATTTTGAAGTGGGGGTTTTTACTTCATGGTGCTGGGGGTTACACACAAATGAGCTGACTTATTCCCAGTAATCTTTTTTTTTTTTTTTTTTAATTTTACAACAGGGTGTCACTTAAGTTGCACAGGCTGCCTTCAGTGCCCTTTCATCCTCTTACCTCAGCCTCCCAAGTTAGCTGGGATTACAGGCCTATGACACCAAGTCTGGTTTGGTTAATTATAAGACAGGGTTCTCAGAGGGGGACAACAGCATTCAGGGTGAGGGGTGGTGTGAGTCCTGCACTGGGCTATGAAGATAATTGGGGATAGAGAGCAGCAAGTATACAAAATAAAACAGAGCAAGGAAGGGTTGGCAGTAGGAATGAGCCTGGTGTTCACTTGTGTGGTGAGCAAACCAACATGATGAGATGAACCAGCTGGGAGATCATTTAAGTCCTGACAAACCAGTGCAATTTGACAGGTGGGATAAGGGTCACTGATGGATTCTGAAACCATTAGATGACTTAATGAAAGAGGGCTCATGTGCAATGGAGATAGGTGTGGTGGTGCATCTCCTGTGATCCCAGCCCTTCTGGAGCTAGAGGCATGAAGATGGGGAGTTCAAGGAAGGAGTTCAGGACCATCCCTGGCTACATAGCAAGTTTGAAGCTAGCTTGGATTACATTGAGACCTGTCTAAAAAAAAAACAAGAAAAGCACAGAGCATACCTGCAAGCTGAACCCCAGGTCACAGCCTAGTAACATGAGGCTCACTTTTTTGATTTTTTTTTTTTTTCTTCTTGCAGTCACAGCTGGCCTGGAATGCACTAAGGAGGCCAAGGTGACTTCCATCTCAAAGAGATCCACCCCAAATTCGGGTATTAAAGGTATAGGCCACCACCCCTGGCTATGCTCTTTTTTTTTTTTTTTTTTTGGTCTTTTTTTTAAACAGGGTCTCCCTGTAGCCCCAGCTGTCCTGGAACTCACTCTGTAGGCCAGGCTGGCCTTGAACTCACAGAGATCTGCCTCCCGAGTGCTGGGACTCAAGCATGCTCACTGTTAACATTGACACTGTTTTGTGGTCCAAAGTGCTGTTACACACTATAAACTGAATGGACAGAATTAGTACCCTCTCGGGAAACCAAGAAACCTCCAAGTCACACCAGGGCATCAAGGCATACGTTGTTTATTTCTGCCACCTTCAGGGATCCACTTGTGACCACTTGCCCACACATCTAGCTACTCAACAGCATTCCTGACCCTGCTCTGCAGAGCTATGGCTCACTGCCACCGGTCCTGGAATGGGCAACTGCACAAAGCGGTAATGGATACAGCTGAGGACAGAAGCATAGGTAACCTGCAAGACGCAGCCTGGCTCAAAGGAAGGGCTCTTGCTTGAACTTACCTGCCTTTGTCTCACCTGCGTGTAAGTCACTCTTGGTAACACCTACACAAGGGGAAAGAAGAGAGCAGCTGGGGGCTTCTGGTAGAGAGTGGAGAAGGGGACAAACCGTCCCCAAGCCCCAGGCTGGGATGGAGACGTTGGCGACTGAGGGCAGGAGGAACAGACAGATGTCCCAACAGGGAGACCACGGAGGGTGCAACAGGGCCGTACTCAACCCTCGGTCCTCCAGGGCTCCTACCTGTGGGGGCAGAGGCCACAGGCCCTCGGGACAACGGGCTCCCGCTTCCTCCGCCGGTTCTGCCACCACCTGTGGGTCCAAGGCACAGAGCTGGGCGTTGGCCTCTACGAGGGCCAGGCCCTCACCGGTGCAGGCCCAGAGTGCGCGAGCGAATGGAGAGGCCTCATCGATCCCCTCTCAGCGCTCCACTCCTTCCAAAGTTTTAGCAAAGCGCTTTGAGATCCCGGGCCAAGGCCTCACCAACCCCGGGTCGCCTTACCTCGCCGGGACTTAGGAGCCCCGCCAGGGCTACCAGGAGAAGCAGCTGGGGAGGAGGTGGAGAAGACAGCATTTCAACCGCCAGCAGCCCAACCAACTGGAGCAGACGCGCGCGCTCCCCAGGGCAACCCCGCGCCATTCGTGCCCACGTAGACCCGGGTCTGGCGCGCCTCCCACCCCCACCCGC